CTTATGTCGAACGCACGTTGGACGTAAGGGGGAACCCATCCCACCCCGGGGGAGGACATCCATCGCACAGTAATCTCGTGTGTGGGAAATTAACGTCTCCTACCCCCAACCCTGCAGGAGACGGGACCTCCATTTATTCGTCCCTATCCGAGAAGACTAGAATATCTAAGCATTTCTTTTTGTTATAGAAAGGTAGCAAATTCTTCTCAATTGTTTTGAGACCTTGGGTGTTGGTCCGCCGGGGCTCGAACCCTCGACGTCCCGCACAACAGTCCAGCGCACTATACATTAGGCTAACTGGGCGGCGGTTTATGTAGTGATGACTCTGATTTTTTTCACAAACCAGAGTCAATGTGCCAGTTTTTCGAAAAACGTGGGAACCCTGTTTCTGTCGTTCAAGCGGGTCACCACCGCGCCCAACTTATTGATCGACAGTCGGCACTACAAAAGGACAATCCTGACCGCACTCCATTTACTCTCACATTTCACCCTCACAGCCACTCAGTTAAATCCATTATTCTTAAAAACTTTAAACTACTTCAAAACGATCCAGAGACTGGTACTATTTTTCGCAACCTCCACTCGTTTCATTCAAACGCGAAAAAAACATAGGCAATTTTTTGCTCAGAAATTCATTCCAAACTAATGACCAACCCGGCACTTTTAGATGCGCTCGCACACCATGCAAAACTTGTCGATTCATTCACAACGCTGAGAAAACATCGGGACCCAAACGGTCCATTAAGATTACTGATCACTTCACGTGCACCTCCGCCAACGTCATCTATTGCACAACTTGCACTTATTGCAAAAAGACATACATCGGCGAAACAGGAACACGACTAGGGTTGGCGTAGTGGTGAGGGTTGGCATAGTGGTGAGAGCGCTCGCCTTCCATCAATGTGTCCCGGGTTCGATTCCCGGACCCGGCGTCATAAGTGGATTGAGTTTGTTGGTTCTCTACTCTGCTCCGAGAGGTTTTTCTCCGGGTACTCCGGTTTTCCCCTCTCCTCAAAAACCATCATCATTTGAATTTATTTAATTGAGAGTTTATTTAGATTTACACACGACCTCATAAGCTGTTCAGCTTTAAACATTATCGTGTCTAAATAAAGGCATTATTATTATTATTATTATTATTATTATTACCTTCGCGATGTAGAAAGGAATGACAAGAACGCATCAAAACCAGTTGCTAGACACTTTACTTCAACCTAATCATTCTAAGCAGCAGCTGGCAATCTGCGGTCTTTCCTTAAATTTAGGCAGCTCGGAAAGCCGCAAAACTCTTGAACAAAAGTTTATCTTTCAAATCGGCACTCTTAATCCCATAGTTATCAATGAACGCTTTTATTCTACTAATTTATTCGTGTTTTTCTCGTCGCCATGTTCCCAACAATAGCGTAGCTCCACTTTCTGCATATAAACCCACACACAACTCACAATTCCTCCATTCGCTCTGACGAAGGGCCAACGCTCGAAACTTCAGCTTTTTAACTCTTTACGGTGGACAATTTACAATTTCAACTTAGTTGATATAACCAAATTACCTTGTTTCACCCATCGACGCAGCACCACAGTTTCTTTAGAAACTTACCCTCTTTATTTCTTAGGACAACTTAAGCACAAACAAGGAGTAGTGCCGTGAATACCAATCATGATTTGGCTCGGTTTAGGTTGGCATCCTAGTTATTATCAAGGAAATATAATTATGGCTTCGAGTGTTAATAATTGCAAAGGTCATAAGAAGTGTTACCAACACAAACCTCAAGCAATGGCGATGAAGAACTTTTCCAGCGGTGGTGCGCGCCTTTCTTAGGACAGCTTTGACGTTTTCCATGGAGCCATTATTTGGACGCGGGTTTATTCCAAGAAGTTTGCTCATCAGGGGGCACAGATCCACGGTATTGAAAGGGTTCACCACCACACCTTCCCTGAAAGCGGGACCCCGGGCGTACAATATTGAGTAGCTTTTTGATTGGTCAGGTGGCCAGCCATGCCATCCTTGATCTTGCAGAGCATCGTTTCGAGAACGTGTAACCACCCAACCAACTTCAGTCTCGACGTAGATCGGTGGAATTCGGCGATTATTCTTCCAGTGGTACTCATCTGATATGTTCTCTTTTCTGTACACTTTCCGGACATGAAGTATTGAATTTCTTGTGAGGTTTTGATATATGATGTCTATCATTCCTGGTTAGGGCCAGATGTGTACCGGTACAGAGCCTAAACCCAACAAAGTGTAGCTTGAGGGATCGATGTAATCATCCAAGTACACTCGACGAGTAGACGATGACTTATCCATTGCATGATGGCTAACCACTGTTAAGTTCAGTTTTTGCAGAAAACCACTTTCATTTAAAGGCTTGAGTAAGTATCCAACAACTTTTACATCAATATGTTTTATCATTTGCTTGTACTCGTTTGAGAAAGGTCCGTATGCGTGACCTGTATTATCGAGCTGTTTAAAACAGAGAGCGATGAAATGCGGAGGTTTTTTCGAACTAAGCCACTCCACCGCCTTATCAACACGTACAGACGACGCACCTCTTATGTCGAACGCACGTTGGACGTAAGGGGGAAAGCCTGGAAAAGTTCTGTTCCTAAACTTTGAAAGGTCCTTAGGATTGATTGCACTGCAGTTAATCAAACAAGTTTCTCTTTGGTAGTACGTGGGTTTGACTTGATAACTTGTTGTTGCAGGCCAAAAGTACGATGCACTACGTCCTCCTTCCTTTTGCAGACTCAGCCATATTGGCTCTGATGCATTGTAAAACTTAGACTCACAAAACAACAAAGGCCGCTTCATGTTATAACTTTTCGTGTTTGGATAGCCCACCGTCACCTTTCAGCAATATCAATTCACAAACCTCTTGATACATTGAAGT